GTAGTACACTAAACCATGTCCCTCAACACAAAATCCAAATCCACGTTCCCACCCTGTGTATAAGGAGCAGAACTCACCCAGCAAAGCTCACACTCACAAGCTTGGGACATAATGAGGCATAGGGCGATAACTCCACGGCCCCGGGTTAATGATTATCTGACTCCTTAAATGCAAGCTAGAACTTCCAACTCCATGTTTACGGTTACGCTCCTTATAGCAGTGCTACAAGGATTAGTAGCTTCTGTAAGTGCTGATCACAGAAGAGCGTTATAGGAACCTGACTTTGGGTAAATTATCACTAGTTATTTTGTGGGTTTTTTGTTTGTTTTATTTTCTTAGCGAAGGGAGCACTCTGCACTGGGGCACAGTGCTGGGGAGGCAGTGAGGAAAGAAGAAGAGAGAAAGGAGAAGCAAAAAAAGGAAGGTCAGGATCAACCGCTTTCACTGTAACTGAAAGCAGCATGTGGGGAAGGACACGTCTGGGGTCAGTGAGAAGGGTGCTGAGGAGCAGGAGAGAGCAGAGGTAATGGCAGTGGGAGGGCTGCGGGATGACAGAACGGCTCTGTGCTGCACAACAACGCGTTTCCTTCACTGTTCCACACTGCTTGCTTTTGTCCGAGCTACCTCTGCTCCCTGTAGGTCAGAAGCACCTGCAGAGCGCGTTGCAGGAGGTACCAGAGCACACATACGCTTCTGTTTCAGAAGGAGAGAAAAAGATCCAGTGACAGAAAGAAAAGGCACACACCCAGACAGCAGGGCCGTCAAAGCAGATGCACAGATAGCTGCTGAAACCAAAAACCTGCCTTAAAACACAAGCGAGGCGTGAGCCCAGCACGGGGAATCAAGCACAATTATTGCATGCTATGAAGTATTGCTCAGAAAATGGTTATTTTCCCTTATAACAGCATATGGTATTACACATCGAGTCATTACAATGAGATGCAGCAGCGCACAACCAAAGAAAGCTTTCTCTGAGCATTCCTAAAGGAAGCACACACCGGGCTGCTCCTGCTGCACAGACAGAGCCAGCGACACAGAACTCCTCAGGACACCACATTTCACAGGGAGCAGAGAAACTGCTGTAACAGCAGGGTAATTACAACTAAATGCATTCTCCTCCGTTTATTTCAGCACTGAAGGCAGCTCTGGTGCTGTCTCTTCCCTCAGCATGCTGTGACAGCACTGTGCCCAGGGCTATCACCCTCCATCCCGAGGAACACAGAGGAGATGCTGGACATTACAGTCCTGCAGAGCTCATTTCTGGCTCCTGAGGAACCCACAGGCCCACACTGGGAAATGATGAAGCAAAATAGAGGCACACAGAGCACCCGCACACATTGGGACTGCTGGGGCTGCTCTCGGCTGGGAGCCCAAACACACACAGCATTCATCCCCTCTGCACAGCTCAGCACAGCCCAGACATTTCCACCAAAGCCTTTCATGCACCACAGAGAGGTGCCACACACCCGCACAGCTCCGCACCAAGAGGTCCTGGGCACACACTAACCCCACACTGTTATTCAGCGTTGGGTTTAAGTTTCACCATTCCCAAACTTAGCTCATCAGAGGTCATGAAAAAAGTTCCCACTTCTGACCTCAGTGTCAACCAAGCCACCTGACACAGATCATGGGGTGGGACTGCAAGCACAGCGAACTGACCAAAAGAGTGTGCAGACCACACGTCCCCATGGACACCCGCTGACGCTGCACGGCAGCACTGCTGGCAGCCAGCAGAGTGGTGGCTCAGGGGCTCCGTCCAGTTGGGCCTCTGCCCACGGAGCTGAGCAGTGCAGGGCTGAGAATTGCCCACACCGAGTGCTCCGAGTACCCTTGTGCTTCATAGGACATATTATTTTTTAAAGAAATTACTCAGAATGAAAGAAAACCCATGGAAACCAAGGCCCCATCCCCTTCTGCCTCCATTCATCACAGCGTCCTCCCACGGAGCCGTGACACCATGACTGCCAGTGCTCCAGGGCAGTTCCTCACCATTTCCCAACACCTTTCCACAAGCCCACATGCCCACTCAACACAATGTGACTTTCAGCCTCACCGCCTGCAAAGAAGCTCCTCGTGGCTGCACATCCCCATGTGATGGCATCACAGCGTGAGTACTGAGACGAACGCCGTGCCATGTGCTGTAGTAAGCAGAACCAGCATCCTATGGACAAATCAGTGTGGCACGACTGAAAAAGGAAAAACAATAAACAAAGTGTTCTCATCCAACTTCAGACAAATCAAGAGAGGCACTGCACTGATGGCTCGGTGCTTAATACTGATTTGTGTGTTTCGATCCCATGTTTGCATTTACAGCCGAAATCCTTCTGAGCTCAGATTTCCTCACTCCCGGATGCATTCCCTTGCACTGACCACACACCGGTACGGCACTGCCGGCCCTCCCAGCACCTCCCACCATGGCCCGTGTTGTCCCAGCAGGAGTGGGGCTGCTGGTGGGGCTGCAGGAGTCGGAGTGCTGGCTCCATCAGGGGGGCACAGACAGCCCTTCTGACACCTTCCACAAGGAAGAAGCCTCTAAAATCTTACCTCTGTTAAACACTGCGTTAAACGTCAGAGGAAGAAGCAGCAGCATTCAGCACTGTGTTCTGCATAGGAAAAAAAGCTCCAGCTCTTCAAGTAGTATTCAAGTAATGCGTTCTTTTCTTCCCAAAAGGATACACTGAGGGCGACTTGAAACAAAAGCAGAGAAACCCAGCTCCATTCCCATGGGCAGAACCAGGACCAGCACGGAGAGGTGACGGAGCGGAGCCAGGCAGTTCTGTGCTCACAGCCCATGGCTGCCCCTGGGAAGCGCTCGTGGGTGGGCACAGCCCTGAACAGATGCATTCAGTGTGTAAGCCCGTGTGTGCTTTACAGCACGCTTCACACACTGTCTCTGGGCCTTGGGGTACCACGGAGGTGATAAAACACAAAGAGCGCTGGGCTGGTGGTGTACAGGCTTGCAAGGAGCAGAGCTCCTCCTGGGCCACAGGAACAGCGCTCAGATGAACCGGTGTTAGAAAGCAGGAACCAAACGGAGAGCAGCGGTGGTTAGGTGAGGGAACATCCCCACCTCCAACATCAAGGCTGAGCAGCAGAAAGCTGCCAGCAGTACATCCCTGTTCCATTCTGTGTGTTATGGGATGTGAGGCAACAGCCCACAGACGTTCCTTCCAAAGCCTGTGCCCAGGTACACACAGGGAATGCATTTGGCTGCCACGACAAGACTGACTTTTTGTTTTGGGGCTGGTTTGGTTTTTTTTGTTTTTTGTGTTGTTTTTTTTTTTCCAGATTGTACCAGTAAGAACAGGTGAGATGTCCCTACAGGAGCACATCTCCATGCAGCTGCAATGTCCCCATCACTGCTCAGCCACCCCCCGCACATCTCCTCCCAGCGCAGGAGCAGCCGGGGAGCAGAGCTCTGTTTGTGAATGATCACTTTGCACCTGCACAGCTCTCAGGAGCAGCCCTGGTGGTGCCTCGGGAGCTGTGCACAAAGTTGGGGTCCCTCACTCAGACCCAACACTTCCCACACTCACTGCCCCGACCCCGCTGTGCCTGACAGATGGGCATAGAGCAGAGTGCTTCTTCCAACCCAACGCCGAGCACTGCGCTGGGCTCCTTGCTGGCACCCACTCTGCTCTCTGCAAGGAACATTTATTTTTAGGCTACTGACCGCCATTGAGACGTGCTTGGACTGCTTTCAGCCTGACTCACCGCGGAGCTGCTGTGCTCCTGTGGCCAACTTCTGTCCCCACCCAAACTGGAGGAAAACGGAACAAAATAAAACGCAAAGACGTGGGCTGGGTCCAAGGCCTCGAGAGTGCCCCCTGCCCTGCTGCTCTGCTGTGCGGGGCACTGGGATCTGGCAGCATGGCTCTCACTGCTGGGACAGCAGCTTAGGGCAGGCAACAGCTGCAAGTGGGCTCAGCTCTGAGTTATCTGGAAAGAGAGCAACAGTGGAACAGAATTTAAGTACTCAAACACTTGGAAGCTAAAGCTGCCTATCGGCCTCAGACCCATCAGAGCAGCAGGGCCACACCACTGCCAAAGGGACTGCCTGGCTCTGGGCTGGTGCAGGGAGTCAGGATTTGCTGCTTTGCTTTCCCTGAGCAGCTCCCCTCACCAAGAGGCACAGGGCTGTCCATCCTGCAGCACAGCAGCAGCACAGCACCCAGCTCCTCCCCATGGTCTTTAGCTCTGAGCCTACCGTGGTCTCCATGCTCCTGGCCAGCACCTCCCTGGCTCTGTGGCCCCATTCCTGTGGCTCTGTGGGAGCTGCAGAGCGGAGCTGCTGCCTTATGCCTCCCCTCTGTGGTGGTTTGCAGGGGGTGATCAGGCAGAGCCAGCTCCTTGTTGCTCTTCTCTTCCAGTGCTGTGAGCACAAGGGCCAGGAGGCCCATAACTGCATGTTCTGCTCTCAGAAATAATCACCTGAAGTTAAGCAAACCTCTACTTGCATCTTAAAGCTAGATTTGGCAAGAAGCAGCAAGAATAAGGAAATGCATCATTTTTGTATTTACTTGAAAATTTCCTCAGTGCATCACCGGTGTTCTGCAGCCAGGTCTGACGGCACGAGGAAAGCTGCCTGCACACAGTGCAGCTCATGCAAGGCCTGCCTGGCCCACTGCCCAGCCCTGCTCCCCGCTCCTCAGCCCAGCCCTGCTCCCTCCTCCTGGCCTCGGTCACAGTGGGAAGCAGCCACCCTCCCAGCCTTGCTGCCAGCTGAGTCTGTCCACCTCTTTGCATACCTCCTTTGGTGCACATCCTTGCTGCCAGCCCAAACAGGCGGGAGATGGAAATGGGCGCAGCTATTCATGCCAAAACGTAAACCCCCAGGAGCTGTAGTTCAGGCAAGGAAGTCACGTATGCAAAGGCGGCTCTGCATGGAGCCTGCAGCACCCAGCTCCAGCATGTTTCCCTCGGGCTCAGGTCTGGCCTGGCACCGACTGGCAGATCACTGATCACAGAAAATGTATGACAACAAAATTTCCTGCTGAGAAATGTCACAGCGATATTTTATTTGCAATCTCAACAGAGCACAGCATACCCTATGCTGGGTGTGGTGTCAGGCTGCCCGCTGACCCTACCTCTGTCCTGCTGGAGACAAATCGGCAACAGGCACTTTCAGTGACACACTCAGCTCCTGTGTGTTCTGTTGCCTGAACAAAGCTATCTAAAGAGTAAAGCATTGCATGCTGCTGGTGTTCTCCCACACAGCTTTCCCCCAGTTCCATTGCCAGAGCTCTCTCCAGCAGTTCATTTGTCTGCGCTTTTCAGCCTGCCCAAAACCTGCACTACTTTTGCCATCAGCATCTCTCGGAAGTTGTCCCCCATGAGGAAGTAGAACACAGGGTTGATGGCACTGTTGAGGAAGGCGATGGGCCGGGTGATGATGTAGGCAGTGTTGATGGTGCTCTGGGTGCACACGGGCACGTTGAGGGCTGGGATACGGGAGGCGAGGCGGACATTGCGCATCACATGGTATGGGGTGAAGAGCAGCGAGAAGGTGGTGACAGCCAGCACCACCAGGGTGAGTGGCCTCTCAAGAGCCAGGACAGAGCTGCTCATCTCCTTCCAGGTCTTCAGAAAAAGCAGCATCTTCACGTAGAAGAAGCACATTATGGCAAGGGGGATGAGGAACCCAAAGAGCGTCAGGAGCAGACTGTAGATGAGGCTTTTCTCCGGGTCCCCAGAACTCGCGTAGTCGAGGCACGTGAAGTTATTGGCTGGTGACACCGTCTCCAGGAAGAAGGTCAGCGGCAACAGCTCCAGTATCACCAGGACCCAAACAGCAATGCACACAATGAAGGCTGTCTTCCTCTTCTGCAGTGCGTGATCTCTGAAAGGGTATCTCATGAGCATGTACCGGTCGATGCTGATAACAGTAAGGAAGAGGATGCTGGTGTAGAGGTTGACGTGCAGCAGGAACCTGTTGCTGTGGCACAGGATGCTCGAACTTATCCATCGGCCTTGGGAGTAGCTGCTCACCAGGACCGGTAAAGTGCACAGGAACAGCAAATCTGACAGTGACAAGTTAAACAGGTAAATATTGCCACTTTTCCACTCCTTCAGGCAGAAGATATAACCAAGCACAACAATGCTGTTCCCAATGGCACCCAAAGCGAACTCCAAGCTATACATGGTGGAGAGGTAGCCCTTCTCCAGGGCTCTTCCCACCTCCTGGCAGACGTCTGTCCCATTCACAGCCTGCAAAGGCAGAATGAAAAAGCAAAAGTCAGCATAATCTATCAATGCTATTGTAGTATTGTTGCTGTAATAGATCAACATGGCATGCTGCCTCCTTCCAACCCAGGTAGCAAGTAGGTGCATGAAGATCACACCTTGTTTGCACAAGGTTTCTGCTCTCAGCTGCTGGCAGGGTCAGCGAGGAGCAAACAGCCAGGAGAGCACGCAGCCAGGAGCGCCCTGCATGTGGCCGGGCGCTGACACCCCGCAGGCAGCGGCCGCTCGCAGCCCTCAGCTGCCTTACACAACTTCCGCCGCGCTGCCCTCTCAGCACAGCATCAGTCCCTTTCCAGGAGGATGAGCTCAGCAGCATGGCTGCACTGACGCCATTTCTCAGAACTCTTTAAGAACTTACCAGACTGTGCTCACTGAATGGACGGAGCCAGTCGTGGCGCGTTCAAGTTTCCGCCGGCACGCCAGCAGCAGGATGGCACAGAAGTGGTGCAGGTGGAGCACATCCCCCCGCTCCTGCACATTCTGAGGTAGCAGTGCTGAGCATCCCTACAGGGGCAGAGGGCTGCCCCAGGGCTCTGCAGCGCGGAGGTGAGGAGCGAGCACTCCTGGGGAGCTACACCTCACAGGAGGTTGCCTGGGGATAAACCTTGCTTTTGTCCTGGGGGTTTGGATAAGTAAACGCTTTTGTTTCAAAGAAATCAAGCAGAGGCACAGGTGCTCAGCCCTCTTCCTCAGGGAAACATCCACCTGCTGCTGAGCATTCCCGGGGGCACTGAGCGCCAGTGAGAGTGAAGTGGTCAGAGTGCAGGGGAAGACTGAGTGTTAGTAGAACGTGGGTTACAAATGACATCAGGTTAAGGTTCAGCTCTGAAAGGACATCAATGTGACTGCCACAAAGTCTGCAACAGGCTGGGTAAGGACACGATTTGCAGACACCACAACTTCTCAGAGCTGCTCTGGTGCCTGAAGCATGTTACTCTGAGAATGGGGACCTAGGAGCAAAGTGACACGCTATGCTCTGCAGTCAGCTCATGAAACAGAACAGGCACAGCACACACAGCTCCCCACAGCCACACACAGCAGTACCCACTCTTCCCTGCGTGCCCCAGAGTTCCTTAGAGCCCTCAGGACTCTACAGGACTCTACCCCAACAGGAGGTGTTGGGGCTGGAGCAGCACCAGGCACACCTGGGCCCTGGCTGCTGGGGACCTGCAGAGCAGCTGCAGAAGTGACCACACTGCTTCCAGCACTTCAAGTACAAATAACAACTAGCAAGCTTCTGCATTGGCAGACACGCTGATACAAGCAGCAGAAGCAGAGGGGCTGCTGGCTTGCAATGGATGAGGCCATGCAGGAGCTCCCCGAGGAGCAGGAAGGGGCACCACACACAGCTCTGCACACAGCTCCCCATGCAGGGGCACAGCGTGCAGCTTACCATGCTGGGGCTGCTCCCTCGATGAGTTCACACCAACCATCCCTCAGTGGAACTCCTCCGATTGCCAGAGCTCAGCGCACCGCAGATGCTTTATCCTCGTTTGCATGTGATGCAGACGTTGATGAGTCACGCAGAGGAGCGATCTGTGTGGCTGCACAGCACCAGGAAGGTGCCCCAAGTTTGTACAAGACCAGCAAGAGGCAGAGAAGAAGTCCGTCCCCCATGCTGTGGGCTGTCCTGGCAACCCAGCCAGAATAGCTCCAGCACAAGCGGAATTCACAGTGCTGCTGTGCAGCCAGCACCACCACCAAGTGATAGGGTGGGATGGATGGAGCCAGCTGCAAAGTGCATAGGGGTTCTATTTCACTCAGAATTTCTCTTCCAGGCCTGCTTATTTGCTGCACCAGCTAGTGGGGAGCTCAGGGGCAGTAACAGCCCTGAGCTGTTCGGCAATGCCTGCTCACACAGCCAGCAGCAATGCTCCATATCCACTCCATACCCAGAGTTGCCGGCTCCAGCTGTTGGGAGACAGCTGCCAACACCAGAGTAACATCTTTCCCTTTGCATCACTATCATGATATGGGCCATAAAAAATTCAAAACAGAATAGAAGGGGCAGCAAAGAAACCTATCACATGATGGGTCAACCTATCAGTGATGACTCACCAGTCATTGCTCATGGCCAATGGAGGGAGCCTGCAGCAGATGAGGTGCTGTGGGATGAGAGGAGGTGTTACCACAGAAGCTGACCGTAAGGGAGCAGCCAACGTGAGACCCCTGCAGCGGTAATCCAGCAGGCAGATGTGCCCACCCAGCCGCTCTCTAGAACGAGTCTCATAGATTTTGATGACAGGAGAAGGCCATTGCTTTTTCAGCCTATAGTAAATATGAATACATATAGAATATTGACAGCTCAGAGGAAAGGGGGAAGTGGGGAGCGATGCACTTCCTTGACAGAGCTTTTCCCTTAGAATCATAGATTTGCTCAGGTTGTTAAAGGCCTTAAAGATCAAGTCCAGCTGCAACCTTACCATACTACCTTCTGGATCTGCCGATATATTGGCCACAAGAGGTTTAGAGCTCTTCAGAACATCGAGGACAACTTCTGTCAAAAAAAAAAAAGCATCAGAAAAAATGAATACATCTGGAACGCATAGAATGCAGTGCCACTGCAGCCCCTGAAGGCACTGCTGAACGCCTCCCCCTGTGCTGGGCCAGCACCTGAAGAGAGCTGCAGTCTCTAAACACACCGGGAAATGATAGGCCAAAAGTGCTCTTTTTTCCCCAAAGTACTACACACATCCACCATCTGTGCGAGGTCACAGATGATTTGTATGGGAAGGGATCTTAGAGATCATCCAGTTCAGGGACACCTCCCAGTAGAGCAGGTTGCTCACAGCCCTGCCCAGCCTGATCTTGAATGCCTCCAGGGAGGGGGCACCACAGTGACTAAGTCTTGGATGGTTCGTTTATTTAGAATGTCACAAGTCTCTGATGCTCTTTTTCATCATACTAGGCCTTACGAAACACAGCCACTGGCCTCTTCATTCTGTGCTCTGCTGTAAGTTGAGGGATATTCTTATTTTATTAAGAAAAAATTGCATGAGACAACCAAGAAAGCATCCAAGGAAAACATCACCAGCATCTCTAGCACCTGGAAACAGCACCAGAGGGGCAAAGTGCCAGGTGTGCAGGGACATGCTTCCACTGCACTCAGACCCACATTTCTCTGACAGAGCTTCTAACATGGGCACTGAGGAAATTCAGTGACACAGCACTGCCACAAGGCTCGTTATCGTGGGGTATCTGGGTAACTGGTAAGCTTTTCCTTTCCTCTGCTGAAAGGCAGGAGATTTATTTTTCCAAAGCCCTGTGCTCGGGAAAAATGAACTGAGCAGGCTGATACATGGCAGAGGTCAGACTTTTTTTTAGGCCAGCTGGTCACCCATACAAACCTTGTCATAGAGTAGCAACCCAGTGCCACCACCAGCAATTCAAACAGCAACCTGCCCCAATGAGCGCGGCACTGCGCTGTGTGGATGGATGTGTGCAGATGCATGCAGACGTGTGCTGTCCTGCAGGCAAGCTGCTGGAGCGTTGCTTCCAAAAGCTTCACCATACTGCTCCCCATCAATTCAAAGCAAGTCTTCAAAGCAAGCCTTCAAAGTCTGACGTGCCTTTGGCTGGAGCAGGCTCAGCCATCAGCCAGGGCTGCATTTTAAATTCCTGGGGTTCTTTAGCATCCCGTTGGCTTTGAGGAAGACAGTCAGGCACATCTGTTGTCATTAAGGACCCTTTAGTTGGTGTATATTATATTGAGGCCTATCAAATGAGTCATGCATATTGGAGGGCTCGTTATGGATGCATTTGGCTCAGTCACTGGGGTTAGCTGTGAGCAGAGCCCCCAGAGCAGGGGGGTTGGCCCCCACCAGATGCACCCCAGTGAGCAACATGGAGCAGGGCAGAGGCCCTCAGGTAACAAATACCAGGAGAATGATCAGTGGGCACGGGGCTCATAGAAGAGAGCAGAGGGATGGCAGAGAGCAGCTGCCCAGCACGCACAGCAGCACACCCACAGAGCGCCTGTTGCTGTAAGGCACAGCAGCCCCACCTGCTCCTGCCTTTGCTGCAAAGAAAGCATTGGACAACACACATTTACCTTTCCTTTTTCAGCACCAGGTTTGCCTGTGTCCCAGGATAAATGTGACTCATTCCTTCTCTGCCCTGATCCCCAGGCTGAGCTGAACAGAAGTGCAGATAAAACCCAAATCCCTCCACTCCCACTTTTCCCTATGTGCAATTCTGCTTTTATGAGAGGAGCACATGAACAAGCTTGAAGTGTTATGACTGCATGTGGAATGCTGTTTGCATAACGGGTTTCGATAATGCACATCCGGTACAACAGCCCCCGACTACTTTGCCATCTGTTATTTGGAATTGCACCAATTATGTCCAGGGTGCGAAAAAAAGGGAAGTCGTGAAATTGTTTTAGCCATTCAACTTAACTTTGTTCCCTGCAGGAACAGATCTTAATGCACGCTTCAAGAACTCCGACACAGCCATCCTCCACGTGCCGTGCTGCACAACCCCTCTTTCCCACCTGCCCATCCAGGAAGGTTGCATCTATGTGCAAAAGCTATTTCCCCAGAGAGACGAGCACTCCTCCCACTGAGCAGCACCCAGCTGCAGGAGCGGGGCGGGAGCCGCTGCCTTCTGCCATCAGCAGGGCTGGGGATGGATGCTCACTGCCAGCTGATGGCTCGGTAGGCACGAAGCACCTCAAAAACCATTCATTTTGCCTTCCTTCATTCCTCAGTTCAGTGAGCGTAGAGGAAGTGCAGGAAAGCACAAACATCTCAAAGAAATAGACATTTTAAAATTGTTAAGCAGTTAAGATATTCACAATATAAGCTTAATGTTTTCAAACGTTTATCTCAGTTTAACGTGCCAGGAGTACTGCACAGACTCATCCCTTCTCAGCACATTTCTCATGACCCTGAATTTAGTCCTGGTTCTCTGTGGCAGTTACTGCGTGTAATGAAGTTCACCTTTCCTTTCCATCACCCACAGATTCTGTTTATTGGAAAAGAATAACATTGCATTAGAATCAGAGAACTTTTCTGTATTCAACATAAGACAAAAATACAGCAACCCTGACATGATTCCATCTAAATGCCTGCATACACACATGGAAAAAACAGCATTTGTGCAGTAGCTTTTGTGCAAAAGAAACAGGATGCTGCAAGTTTGTTGGTAGCGTTTTGCAACCTTCAGACCAACAGGCCACCAACGTGCGCGCTCACCACTCAAGTTTAGGGATTCGTATTTAATACAGAGAGCACTTCTACGTAGGATATTCATTCAAAACAATGCTGAACTCTTTCTTCTTCAAATCTATGATGTTGCCTAGTTTTATTCTTAAAAACTGTTTACCAGGGATAGCAATAACAAGAACATGACACTTATTTAGTAAGAAGAACGTAATTGCAGAGCAGCGTTGTTCTAAAAGCAGGACCTTTGCACCCTTCCCTTATCTGATGGGCACCCAGTGCCGTTCAGTTACACTACTTCCTTCTATTACAGAGAATAATGGAGGCAATTACTGAGTAAGATGGGTGCACATTTTTAGTGTTTGCACCATCTCGCAGCCATCCCCTTCAGTCTTGTGGTGCTTACCTGGAGCTGTGCTGCAGGGCTGGCAGCAGGGATGCAGTGGGCAGGTTCCACTGCTGCCACTCACGCTGGATCTGCCCACTGCTCCTCTGCTGCTTGCAGTGCACCCGGCACAAGGGGTAGGGAGTGAGCAGCCACCAAGCAGCAGTTGTGTGAAACGGTGATGGCCATGCTGACACAAGCCCATCGCTGTGACACAGCACCGGGAAGGGATGAAAAGCTGCCCAGCTGAGCCCTACGCTCTGCCAGGCAGGCTGAATGGGAGCACTGCCCACCAAGCCCAGGCAGCTGCACAGTGGGGACCAGGCACAGCCTGATGGAGGTCGGCCAGGAAAGGGGTCCCCAGGCAGTGCCCGGGTCCTAAGCTCAGAAGGCAGCACCAGAAAAGCACACGTTGGATCAAGCTGGTTTTCCTGATGGAGTTGACAAGAAGTGCTGTATGCAGACACCTCAAGGCAGCACAGAATACAGCAATCACACCCAAAGCACGCAGACCCCATTCTCCTGCACACAGCTCAGCTGCACCCAGCTATGAGCCAGATGTGTTGCAGCACCCCCTCTGGCTACAGGTGCTCCTCCAGCCACTGCAAGTAGCCACTCAGCAGCCTGTGCCCCACGGCCAAGTCACCCGGGCTGGTGACAAATATCAGCGCCCCGTGGAAGCCGTCCTCAGCGTGCTCGTGTGTGACAGGAACGCCCAGCGCCCTGAGGCGCGTGGCATACAAGAATCCATCATCCCGCAGCACATCATGCTGGCAGGTGAGGATGTAGGTGGGGGGCAGCCCCTGCAGCTGTGCCTCTGTTGCCAGCAGTGGGGCTGCCCGCGGGTCCAGGAACCCAGGGTACTTCTCTGCCAGCGCGGGGCTCCCGAACACTGGGCCGGTGTAAACGTGGTCCTTCTTCAGCCTGTCGGGCAGCAAGGTGCTCCAGTTCACAAACTGAAACAAGTGTCCCCATTGGGCCGGGACGTGGCGGTTGGAGGTCATTGCTTCCCTGAGAGATGGATCGGAAGTAAAATACTCGCTCCAGAACCTGATCATGAGTGACTTGGACAGAATGGGCATGTTTGCATTTTGTTGGTAAGATGGCAGATTCAGATCAAGAGTTTGAAGCGCAGGATAAATCAAAGCTTGGGCCTTCAGCTTGTTTGTGACTTCAGAGTCCTCCAGCAGCTGTAGATAAAGGAAATAAGTGCAAAGACAGTGAAAAAGTGTTGGTTCTGTCATACCAACAGAAAACCTTAAATGTAAAGAATTAACTACTTCTCCTCATACTTCTTCCTCACACTCCTTAGTGTGTGTGGTGGATCCATGACCTTCCCAGCCAAGCACAACCTGACCAGCTTCCCAGAGATAACAACTTCCTACTGCCTTAATTAAATAACTCTCAGTAAGCATGAGAGGCACTTCAAGATTGATCAAAGGGCACTAACAATTAGTCTTGTTGCTTTTATTTTGCTGTCACTGAGAACGATGGGAATCAAACGGATGAAATTCCCTTTTCAAACACCTTCCCTAAAACAGGGAATGCTTCGATGCCTATTGATGAAAAGGCTGAAGCAAACTTGCCTAACCAGAACACGAAGGACCTCCTGCAGGACAGCCTGCTCACGCCAACCACACAGGCAGAGATGCGTTGTGCTTCTTGCAGCCTTTTCTAAAGGCAACAGCCCCATGTTGGAAAGCCATCCACGTACCTTCTGTGCCACAGCCGCTGCCAGGTTGCCGCCAGCGCTGTCTCCTGCGACGCAGACCCGCGTCGGGTCAACAGCGTACTGCGAGAGCACCCTGCTCTGCAGGAAGAACTTGGATGCTGAATACGCATCTTCAAACTGAACTGGAAAGTGGTACTTGGGTGCCAGCCTGTAACTGTCAGGGAGGAGCAGAGGGTGTTATTCAGTACTGCAGAGCTGAGGAGTGCCTTTCATCCCATCCTCATTCTTTTCCATGAAAATACACGCATGGATATGCAGAGTTGTGTTTTCTCTTCCTAGAATGTCCAAGATGTTCTTATCCCACAGTTCACTCCTTAAAACACTATATCTAATAAAAACAACAGCAATCTGCCTTTCTGCTTCTACACACTCTCTGTGCCTGCAGCAGCGGCAGGACTGTCCATCCGGGAGGCTCAGACATGGTGTCACCCACCCAGCACCACAAAGCAGAGCCTGAAATAAGCACCACTCAGCACCCACCACTGCTCCTTGACAGCTTTTGCTTATGAATACTTCAAACCAGAAAGAAAGTACATGACCCAAATAAAATACATTGCAAAATTAAACTGAAATCCACTCATTTATTTCAAATGCTCATTAATCTAGCAGGAAAATCTCTTACTTGACTGATACCACAACAGCATTTAATTGGCTTGAAGTCCTTCTTGCCAGAAAGTCATAGGCTTTCATGCCTGAAATGAAAGGAGTCACTGAAAATCCATTTCAATACACATTTGAGAACAAATTCATCTACAGCTGCATGCTCCTCATGGCAGAAGCTTTCAGGTGACTGCAGCAGCACCGTCAGGCTGTGTGCCCATGGGGTTATCTCAAAGCACAACTTGGGCAAGAGATCCAGCGGCCACCTGAATGCTATCAAATAAAATTAAATACGATAAAAAATTACAGTGCTTCCCAAGCACTACAAAATGCAACATCCAGGAGGCTCAGCTGTCATAGCAGAGAGAAATGGAAACAAGCAGCACAGCAAGGTCAGCTCAAGCTCTCAGCATCACACATGCATTCACACTGAAATGAAAGAGTTTGCCTGAGAAAAAGAGCTTGGCTCGCCCTCCCCAGAAACAAGCAGCCAACCAGTGAGCTGAGCTATGGATTGGTTAGGGAGAACTTCAGCCACATCTACAGGACTTCGATGCCAGTCTGGGTGATGGCCAACAATGATCGTTTGCAACCTTTTATGTAAAGCACTGAAACTGAGCAAAGCGAAGCAAAGGACTTGCTGTAGGGGAGAGCGTGACTGGGCTTGAGAGGAAAATATGAACAGTTCCCACAGAATAATAATAGCAGAAGCATAGCAGCAATTAAACCATTTTAGAAAACCCTGCTGAGATCAACAAGGAAGAATACCAAGTGAGATGAGCACTGACAGCACAGTAGTAACCAAAATCAAAGAAACACGCTTACCTTCCTAGAAAGGCATCCACAAGAACGAAGGATGCAGTAATAAATGACTTCTGATACTGCAAAACTCCATAAAATCAACTCCAGGGATTAATAACTATGCCATGCTCTCCCTGGAGCAAGAGGTATGAGGAGCTTCCACAAACCTCCACTCACCACATCCCTACTTGGTTTCTGTTTGTGGAATTTTTTCCCCCCTCACTGAGCCACTCCTCAGTTCTGCTTCCTTCTGCAAGACCCCCCAACCCGCAGTGCAGATAGCGCCCCGTGACACAGCGCTGGCCACTGCAGCAGCCCTTCGTGCCGCTCCTCACAAAGTCCTGCTGAAATGCAGACCCTGATCCCCTGCTGTGACTCCCGATGGGACACTGAGACCTCCAACGCAAATGCTGGCACTGACAGGAGAGCTCACCTGCATCTCCGACGCAAAATCCTCCGCCATGGAAGTAGAGCACTGCCCTCCGCAGCCCCTCTGTTGGCTTCTTGGGCAGGAAGAGGCGGACGGCAACGCCGCTGAACTCCGTGTCTGTCACGGTCACGTTCTCATCTGAGGTCGGTGCCATGTACTCAGCGGCCGAGAGGAGCATCAGGACATCCATGTAGTTCGCCAGCCCCAGCCGCTCAGCAGCCTCAGCCTAGAGCCCAGGAGCAGAAGTGATGTTTTACACACAGCTGTAGTGGCTCCCTGAGCTCACACTTCCACAATGCTGCACAGGGCTCCAAAGCTGCTGCTGAACTCAGTGGGCAGAACACTGCTGGCTCAGAGGGGTCCCCATCACCAACACATTTCATTACCAACAGAACTGATGTGTTAAATGCATTAAGCGTGGATTTTTCCCTGTTTCTTCAGCTTCTGACAGAAAAAAAAACACAGATTGTCCCTATATGAGCAGCCTTACAGCAACCAATAGCTTCATATTTGAAAATGATATTGAAAGGGTATGAAATCATACACGAGAGGTAGTAGCTTTCAGGCATTCTATATACAAATACCTACTTAATCCAGCCCACACTTTGAGGAGTAATGAAGAATTCCTGCAATAGTAGCAGGAAATGGGGTAAGTGCAGAAACTTACGTGATGGAAGAAGCAGCAGCAGAACAGGACAGAACTCTCCAGTCCAGCTTTGGGATCACCACCACACTGCCAAGCCCAGCCCAGCACCCGTGCCAGTAGCGTGCAGGCTGCTCACAAACACTGGCCAAGCAAAACTGGAAGCCTGTCCTACAGCTCTTCAAAGACTCCCTCCTATTTATTTCTACGGCAGCTGTAGCCAAGCAGAAAGATGCCCTCAACACGCAGCTCCCCTCCTCCCCAGGCCTTTCATCTCAGACCTTGCTTTCAAACCCAGCCTACCTGTCTGCAGCCCTGCTGGGTGCTGAGCACAGCCAGGACTAGACCAGCACCAAGTGGTACATGCATTACAGGTGGGAACTGCAGCACCTACGTGTGCTGCATGGGCTCGAGAGTTACTCAGATGAAGTAGCTGCACTACGTGACCGAAACAAGGCAGAAGCTGAGAGCATAGCATGTTAAAACTAGCATGGAACAACACACTGACTGACAGCACAGTCCTTCTTGCTGAAGAACCATGGACAGGCTGCAATGCCACTTCCTCCCCAGACTGCAGCTTACAGCTCTGTGCTGCTCGGCTAGGTAGCACTTTTTGGTAGGCAAGATTGCAGGTAGTTCAGTATGAAAAAATGGTTTGAGTTCTTCATGCCATGCCATTGTCATCCCAACAGCCAGCACAGTTTGTTTTAGGCCTATGCTGTCAACAGATTTCCACAAAACCACAGAGGTAACAGCACTTCAGCAGTGCAGTTTTCCTCTCGCTGGCATACGCTGTAATGCTGCTCAGTACAGGGGCTCTGTGAGCCAGGAAAAGTTCGAGGAGCAGAGCACCTTCAGTGCTTAGCACCTTCAGCTGCAAAGCATCAAAGAGCAAAACAAACGTGTTGCACTTATCCATGTTCACACTACATATCACACTTCACATTAACCTCATGTTTTTCCATGACAGCACAATTAAACCTTTTCTACCAGTTTCTTTATGGTTAAGATTGCACTGAGTTCAGCACTCAACTCCAGATACTACTGCCCTTCACTAAGTGTATTGCCATATATTACCTGTAAGCATCGCACACAAATATTGCCATGTATCACCCACAGAACACCACTACTCCCCCCCACACACACACCACACGCACCCAGGCCCAACACCATCACAGCACCAAACTCACCACATGCCCAAGTGTCCTGAACACCGCTGACATCAGCATCAGCTTCCAGGGCTGCTCAATGTTCTCTGGGATGGGGCTGTAGATGTAATACGCCACGAGGGTGAAGGCGACGCAGAAGCAGAGCAGTTTTGCTCCCATGTTTGCCACCAGCGTTTTGCTCAGGACCGATCACGTAAGTGCTCTCACTGACTTTCAGCAGCTAGCAAAACAGATAGGGCAAAGTTAATCCCATGTTGTGTTTGGATCCCGCCCAAGGGGTGAGCTCTCCTCTGATCACTCTGCGCAGAGGTTACCCTGCCATGTCCCTGCTCTGAGCATTCAGGCACTTGGAGCATGCAGAGTCAGCACTTCAGCTCCTGACTGCACATCGTACACTGCAGTTGCCCACTTTTTGGCATTTGCAACGAGAACCAGCAGGAGGGCTGAAGGGGAGAGAGGCAGTTGAAATACAAGGAATGGGATGTGGCCTGGGAACCAGTGGCTGCTGCTAAGTGACAAACAAAAAAGCAGAGGAGCTCTGAACATTCAGGAACTATCAGTTTCCTCACTGTACATGTCCAAACAAATCCCAGCTTGCAGCAGAACCAAACATCAGACAAAAGCTGCACACCTGCACTGTCATTTTCAAACTCCACTCCCTGCACCGACACCCATTATTGTGGGGTAACACACCAAATCCATTGTGCAATAACAGCTGTGCCAGCAAGCAGTTAGGCTTCTGGTTAATATTTGAAAGCCTGGATTTAATTGCTGCTCTTCTCAGTGTGAGGAGATTTCTGTCCATCTCCAGAGACAGCCACTTCTGCACAGAATGAACCAAGAAATAAAACAGGTCATAATTCAGGCAGTTGAGGAAGACGACTCATCCTGTGGGGCAGAAAGCAGGGGGAGAAAGCCCTGTCCCCATCATATGCCTCACCAGGAGCAGTATGAGCCCTCAGGACAGGGGGTCACTGCCCTAGAATTGGCAAATAACGTGGAGAAAGATACGGCCAGACTTGGCACCACAGAACTGCTCTTAGTGCTCTGTCACATTTCAGGAACACGCCTCCCATGCAGATTCCCACAGCTCAGCAGGATGTATGCTCAGGGCACAGAGGCACCATGTGCTGTCCTCACCCCGAGTTCACCTCTGGCTTACACCAGCACTCCCAACACTGAGCCTTTAGATGCCCTCATCTCCTACAAGCAGCTCTCCAGCAAACTGTAGCAGCTATCAGCCCCACCTTACAGCACTAAAGGGAACAGCATTGAATTCACTGTTTACCTAAGGCAATCTTGAAGCATCAATGTCAGCACTGAATCACCTATATCGCACCCATGTCAGCAGAGCCCTTGTAATGCAACAGAGCAGCTGAGGCAGCACAGGGCCCTCCATGTAGGGACACAGTGCAGGAGGAACACATGTGAACGCTGGGAGTGCAGCATCCCTGCTGACAAAGCCTGTGAGAAAGTCACCCAGGTGGGGATTTCTGGTCCAAAGCAGCCCGTTTTAGGAATAGACACAGCAGAACAGAACTCTCCAAAGCAGAACAGTGTTCACAAGGCAGTGTAACATCAGAGGGAAATACCTAGACGTGACTTGAGCCTCAGCAGTAATGTAGTCCAGGGTACACTGCTAAACAAACGATCAAAGCTTTGGCGTAATCCTCTCATGCACACGCTGCTGTCGGCACAGTCTGTATCAATGGGAGAGGAAGGAAAAAAAAAGGTAAGTTTGGTGAAGCTATTAAGCTATGAAGGCATCCCTCTGTTACCTCGTTCGCTCCCGCAGACCCAGCGGCGGTGCGCAGCCCGGGGCCCGGCAGAGCTGCCCGCTGAAGGATGCGGCCACAGCGCGCACCGAAGCGGCGCTTCGCCCCGAGGCAGCACTGTAAGAAACTTCAAGGCCGCCGGGAGGCAGCGTGGCACTGCAAAAAGATTTCTTCCCGCTGCAGCCCGAGCGCTCGAGAGCTCCGAAGCGTGGCGAGAAACACCCGTGTGAGCCCCGAGCATCCCGAGATACAGAGAATGAACGGCACAGGCCTCGTACGGGCTGCCCGTGCTGCCTTGGGCAGGACGAGTCACAGAATCGCTGTAAAAATGCAAAGCTTTCTTCCTCTACTGTCTTTCCCTCATCTGGCTGAGCTCCACTCAGCAGTGAACGTCATGAGACACAGCAAATACGAAGGTACCCTTTGGAAGGCAGCAGCTCCGCACTAAGTGAGCCCTTGTCCAACACACAGACAGGTGGGAGCAGCTACTTACGAACCTGCTCCAGGATGCAAATGTAAAAGCAACCCAAACCACCCCATGCCACAGGCAGACGTGCAGTTGCTCACGCAGGAGACGTCCATGACTTGTCCAGCCATCCCACCCGTCTGCCGACTTTTCAGTCCTCAAGAAGCTCCACCACACAGCGGGCTTTTGGGCAGCTGGAAGCACGTGGCTGCTCCTCCCACCGAGCGCAAGAGCTTCCCGCTACCACGGTACTTCGCACAGCACAAATCGCCTTCTAATCTTCTCTCAGTAAATAAAGCAGCCTCTTTATTTACAGGCTGCTGTCCTGCACTGCAGGCGATTAAGACTTACTAGCAGCAGAAGTCAAATAGGATTTCATTGCCCACAGGTGAGAACAAATCCCCTGCATGCCAGAGCTCAGCGTCCGTGGCATAGCGGTGAGCAGGGGCAGCAGCACGGGCTGCAAATCGGTGCGTCGGGACAAGCGACCCTGCAGGAGAAAGAAAAAATAGAAAAAAAAAAAATCAATAAAGAGAAGCAAGAACAAACTGGCTTACTCATTCCTAATGCATTTTTCCTGCCCAAACAAGGCCCATGTGTGCATCCACACACCTCTTACAGAACAGCCTTGAAAAGGGCAGCAGCACTTTTCTCTTCTCTTCATTGTCATCGTCTCTACTTTTTAGTGCTGCTTATAGAAAGGATTTGGGCCTGTTTTGATAGAAGGAGATGGCACTCATGTGATGTTTAATACAAGGCGATTTGGACATTGTTCTTTTGGGTATTGTCCTCCCATCTGTTGTTTATTACTGAATTGTAAGTTGTATAAATGGAAACAAATGTTAGTATTGAGCACACATTCACACTCCAAACTAAAAAAAAAAAAAACACAAAACCAAATCCACAGAAAGTAAAGCCAACCTTTAACACATGCAGTACTCCTGAATGCATGGCAAAGCAGCAACTCCAGGAACACAGCAGGGTCCTAACACTATTAAGGTATTGGGATCATTCTCCAAAGCATTCCAAAAAGCTCATTATCATCAGAATTTGAAAGCAGGGCATTTCAAGCAAATCAGTATTTTGTTCTGATGTTTTCAAAATGAAAGGTTGGACTCAAACATCACTTCTTACGAATGTGAGGATACACATGCACGGGCACACGAACATTTTGAAGGGCAATTTCTGACACAAATAAGCCACGGGTGCTGGAGAGCCTATGGGCACACTGGGATGATGAATGGGAGAGACAAGGCTCAGGGCAGAGGTCTGTACGTGTTCCTGTTGAGCTGCTGTGGAACATGAGGGGAATTAAAGTAACTGAAATCGGAGCCATTCCGAACAGTAATTCCAATAGCAGATGAGGCAGAGGCATAATGAAAACCAGAATTTCCTTAGTTTTGCTGTTTGTCTTCCAATTGAACACTTGGAGAAATTTTTAAGCAAACAGCACGGAGTTCCTACAGCCACAGTATAAGGGGAAATCTGATGTTCTGTGCAGCACAGCAGCAGCTCTTCATCACACCATGTCACCAAAGGCACGCGGGGAGGGGACTCAGAGCAGAGGCACATTGTTAGGCAGCTGCTCTCTGAACCACACAGCGCCTGGTGCTGCTCTGCAGCTAGTTTGTGTCAGATCTAGTACTCCTTGGAACAAATATGCAGATGAGCAGTAAGTGCACTGACAAGAAAACAAGCAATGGCATGAAACCTGGTGCACTTTGCTTGTACCTGCACAGCCCCATCAATCGGTGGCCCTCAAGGATATCCCAGAGCAGAAACTATTCCACTTGCTTCTCCAGTGGATTTTCTGCATGCTCACCCCTCCCAGGAACTGGTCAGCCCTTACAAGGCAGGTTGTCAGACTGCAAGAGATGGACGGCCTCAAATAACTAACTGCTAAAATATGTTCAAAAAACAAAGATGCAAGTCTGCGGTTTTGACTCTGCAAATTGAAAGATGAAGAGCCATGGCTGCACAAGCAGTGGTCACAGCTTTAACTCACAGCTCCACAAACATCTTACAGTTCAAGCAGAGCTGAGAATATCCTCCACCTGCAGGACAGCACAGCAGCACTGCGGGGGCCCTGCGTTGTGTCTCCTTCAGACCAGGGAGATGGATAGAAACCAAATTCTGCGCTGACATTCCCGCTAACAGAGTGCTGTCCGAAGTCAGCTCTGCTCTTTATGAGCTGTTCTGAAGGAATCCATACTCAAGCAGAGAAAACAAATCTTTTTTCTACTGCTCCAAATTCCTGAAAGCTCTGCTTTGGGTAACAGCTCCCAGAAGGAAAGCAGGGAAGGAGGACATGTTGATGTCAGAGCATATCCATGTATATACACCACTGCAGTTTGTCATCCTAAATTCCCCGCAGCACCACCTGAGCAAGTTATTGTCCTTGTGGTTTCAGTATTCTCCCCGCTACGTAAACGCAGCCTCACTACCTGATGCCAGGACATCCCTCTGCACAGCTGTGCTCAAGTCTGACAGCTAAGATTAATCAAGGGAGCTGAACCACACTTGGAGTGGGTGGAAAAAAATAGGGCATCCAAACACAGGTACTTTCCAAAGCAAACAGCCTTGCTGTGATAGAGCTAAGACTGTCAACACAGATTAAACTAAAGGTACTATTACCTTCCTGGAACTTGTGAAAATAAGGACAGCATACAGCCAAAAGAATAAAGTTTTCAGCTCCTAGACTCGCCTCTCTGCGTTGCAGGAAGCATCTGCAGAAATACAGATACTTTAAAATGCAGTACAACTTCCCTAAGTTAACAACTTCCATAACTGGCAGTATTTTGTTTATTATGCACAAACCCAGAGTGAACATCTCCTTTGGGCTGCTCATGCATTTCACCACGGCTGTAGGACACTCCGCATCCTTCGGTCCCACTGACAAATCCCACCTCAGGAAGCTGTAGCGTGGCAGAGGCAGACAGCCTAGACTTCATTTTCCCCAAAGTAATACCTCATTTTGGTTTCCCACTTTATCCTTTCAGGAGTGTTTGCAGGCAGCCTCATGTTGTGCCTCAAACCTCACTGCAGCCTTTGTAGGCTCCATCAGAGCTCTGCCCATGCCCTGATTGTACCCAGCTGCTTTTGGAGTAAGTGCCACAAGACAATGAACTTAAATTGAAAATGATAATGAATGAACCGCTTTTAGGATACCTTCCAAAAGATGCTTTGCCAGACAGGATTTTTCAGTCTAAAATTCACTGTATTACTCACTCTGAATGAGTGCAGGGCCTTCGCAACAGTGCTGACCTCACAGGGAATAATTACTCTCAGTGTTGACACCAAGCTAAGCAGCTTATTCTGCACACAGGCTTTGGGTTATCTCCTCTCAACTTCCAGTTCCCTAACACCTGACTATCTGACCTGTGTGGGGTACCAGGCCATTCACTACTCACAGTGCTTCTGTTGTCCTGGCTGCAGATCAATGGTACCACACAGACTACCAGAGCTGTTTGAACTTAGCATTGCTTTAACAATGCAGCCAACATTTTGCTGAAACAAAACCTACTCTAACACGTTCTCCAAGGACACGTACAAAAACCCTGATCACCACACACAAAAATTCTGAAGGTTATGAGCGCTTTCTCCAATTGCCTTGGATGCATTAATGCATCTCACAATCAGTGCATATCTCACCATATATCTCTAGCTCCATCCCTACAGCATTTACCAACAGACAATCAAAGGACAAAACCAAAATTCCTGTTAACATCTGGGAAGGAAGCAGGCAAAGCCTGCACCAGCACTTTGTGCCCCACGTGCTGACAGGAACAGCCTCAGCATCCCACCAGCACAGCACCTGAGAAGGCAAAGTGCAGAGCAGGGTCTGCTGACAGCAGCTCCAACACTGCAACCATCCAAGCAATGTGAAGAGCTGGACGTGGTAACAGTGCAGGAAGCACCAAGAGGCCTCGGGAACACACCTGTTTTCAATGGGAAACATATCAGATATTTCTGGTAATAATTAGGGGCATGAACTTACAATATCTGTGTTTATTAATTGAAAGCTCATTAACAGAAATTTATGTCTCTAAGCACCTCCACATCCAGCGGGTGCCAGTGCTGCAGCAGAACTTCTGGGAGGTCTTCTGTAAGAGCCTCCAGGCTCTCCAGCCCAGATTGGAGTGACCTCAGTGTGTTTGCAATTGCAGTCATGGCACTGAGTCTGCGAGCCCCATCACCTCTGCGGCTTCGGTTTCTCAGCAGCAGCAAAGCCAGCTCCAACACTTCTCACTGAACATTAGGAAGTGGAAATTCTCTATAACCATAATTCACTAAGACTTTTATAAAAGCACTTCTGACTAGTAACAGTGCAAGCTAAGCAAATAATTCTCCAACCGCTTCTGTAAATGCTAAGTAGGTTCCAGGAGTCTGCACTTTGCCATGGGAAAATGAAGAGCAGAGTAGAGATCTGCCTTCCTGCTCAGCCCAAACACTGCC